ATTAGCGTTGCCAGATTTCAAACAGTGAAAATCCGGACAGAAAGGTTGTTGATATTTTTTGTTTTGTTTTGCTAGCTGTCATATGTCCAGATTTTCCCAGACATTTACCAGATTTCTGCCCGGACACCACTGCCGACTGCAGCATTCTGGATATAGTATGGCAACCCTGTGTGAATAAGCTAGATGCTAGAGAAAATTAAGATACTTTGCGGACATACCTGTCTACATATGAATATGAGATGAAGGTGACAGTGAGTTATTGAAGAATTTTTGTTTTTTTGTCGTGTGTGGGCTTGCTTCACGAGGTGAGAAATCTTTAGTTGATTACAGCACCTGCCCGAACGGCAGCCATGCAAGCAAGCCAATTTATTGACCTGGTGGAGAACATAACAATTTCATTAAACTGTATCATGTTGATGATTCCATCTTCTTTTGAGCCTATAGCCTAGCTAAACTGCCTTCCTACCTTTTACAGTACGGAACTAGTCCTGTATGTAGCAAATGTCTGTTCCAGGACACTGAGGAAGAGTAAACTATTGGAATCTATGGTGACCATTGTACACATGAAAAGAGACTTGGATAGGCATGGCAGTTGTGATTGATCTTGAATTGTTTTGTTGACAGGTGGAAGAGAATATTGGGAGACCTTTAATGAATAGGAAAATTAGTCAAAGTCTTAATAAGGAAAGGCACTGAAAAGTGGTTATATGTTATCAAATGGTATTAAGATAGCTGTGATCTTTTGATTGGTGAAAAGAAATCATGCATGTAATCTGGAAGAGTATAAAAAAACATAGCTTGGGGTGTGGTTCTTTACAGCCTCCTCCTTATTTTTGAGGGTGTCCCTATTAACATTTGTATTTTAGTAAGAGCCTATCTTTTCACTTGGAGCCTGTATCCTTTTTGGGGGTGTTTCTGGGAGGGATACCTCCAGCCTAGGAACCCCTTTTAAATCTCTCCAACAGACCTCTGCAGATTTGATATCTACAGAAAGATCTATTAATGCAACAGCATAGTAGATCTCAGGAGCACCCTGTTACATGCTATAGCCTCCCTCCCTTAGGGCTCCCATGCACACCCACCACTGGTGTTTGAAGCCAGGCACACTTGATGTGAGCCGCAATCCACATGTGTTCTGTAGCTTCCTGAGAAATACTGTTGTTTCCTTCGAACCGGCTTGCATATGATTTGTAAATGTAAGCTACAGTTCAGCTGAGGTGTCAACACTACAGGAAACAGCTGCACATGCAGAGATGACAGAGTTATTTAAGTTTTGAGAGGTGAGGGGTTGGCAGCACAGGGAAGCAGATCATGTAATGTGCATCGGGTAAAGACATCCCTGCCTCCTCTCTGGTGGGTAAGGTAAAGGTAAAGGGATCCCTGACCATTAGGTCCAGTCGTGGCCGACTCTGGGGTTGCGGCACTCATCTCGCTTTGTTGGCTGAGGGAGCTGGCGCACAGTTTCTGGGTCATGTGGCCAGCTTGACTAAGCTGCTTCTGGCGAACCAGAGCAGCGCACGGAAATGCCGTTTACCTTCCCGCCGGAGGTACCTATTTATCTACTTGCACTTTGACATGCTTTCAAACTGCTAGGTTGGCAGGAGCAGGGACCGAGCAATAGGCGCTCATCCTGTCGCAGGGATTCGAACTGCCAACCTTCTGATTGGCAAGTCCTAGGCTCTGTGGTTTAACCCACAGCGCCACCTGCATCCCCTCTGGTGGGTGCAGCAATGTAAAAAGGCAATCTTGATTGCATTGGAGGGAAGCAACCTCACACTGCCTAGGTGTCTCCCTTAAAAAGACACCTAACTCCTCCCAACTTCTTCAGCATAGTGTACCCCACTTGTATTTCTCTTCCCCATGTTCTGCCTCTGGCTTCTCCCCCTGCCCCCCCAATCAAAATCTCAATCCAGGTTCCACCCCCGCCCCAATGCAGGAATAGGAATACCTTATCCCACCATTTTCCTGGTCCAAATGTCCCTTTCGAAATCTAAGCAGCTGTTGTGGGCAGTGGTTCTGGCAAGCTGACAACTGAGTCCATCTCACTACACTGTGAATATTTTTGCATAGTAAAGGGATGCAAACAAAAGAGTTAACAAAATAACGGCAAGTGAACTCCCACCATCCAACTATGAGAAGGGTCCGTAGCTCAGCGGCAAAGTATGAATGAATAATTTTTGTTTGTGCTTTGTGGCAAAGCATATTCCTTGTACAGTGGTACCTCAGGTTAAATACGCTTCAGGTTACAGCCTCCGCTAACCCAGAAATAGTACTTCAGGTTAAGAACTTTGCTTCAGGATAAGAACAGAAATTGTGCTCCGGTGGTGCAGCGGCAGCAGGAGGCCCCATTAGCTAAAGTGGTGCTTCGGGTTAAGAACAGTTGCAGGTTAAGAACGGACCTCCAGAAGGAATTAAGTACTTAACCCGAGGTACCACTGTATGTGAAAGGCCTCCTGTTCAATTTCCATCATCTCCAGGTTGCCCTGGAAATTTCCCTGTCTGAAACCTTGGACCACCGCTGTCAGTCAGAGTAGAAATACTGAGCTAGATGATGTGACTTGGCATAAGGCACCTCCCTGTGTTCCTGCAAGGGGACTCTACTATGCAAATCACCTGCTTTTGTTGATGATGTTGACATCGGTAATGCTGACTCAGCTTTGAGGGCCAGTGACAAATTCTGCAGTCTATCCTACCAGACTAGCGAGTGGTTTGAATATGCCAGTGGCATATTCAGACAGGTTTAGTTTCCTTGTGGCTAGCTCACAGGTGGATTTCTGTTGTTCTCATGTATGCACAAGACAGGAAATCTATGGCTAGAATTATCATTGCACAAGTAACGGACAAGTTTTCCAAGTGTCAACGTTGCTTTTACAATGCATTCTGCCATTTTTGGAGCAAGTTGTGAAGGAGGGATCTCTTTTTCAAAACTGAAACATGTAAGCCAACCATGAGATGGAAACAACTGTATTCACTTACAGTATTCACAACTGAGAATGAGCTTTTGCAAAAAAAATAAATTGAAATTTGAAGATGTAATCTGTGTAAAATGAAGTATGAAGATGTAATCGGTGATTTTGCTAAGAAAAAAAGAGCCTCAAAGTTTGTATTTAAATGACATTTACTTAAGACAAATTATGCAAACCATACATAATCAAGTGTGCCTTCAGCATATGACAGAGCTGGGGGGATCAATCTGGGTGATGCCCTTAATTCCTTTCCATTCTGGAGAGAATCCTGTATCTGTGGGGATAGACTGTATCCCAGCCCGCAAGGACTTTGGCTAGCTAGTTAAGCACCACAATTAGCATAGCCAAAGAAGTTGCTTTGTGCCATAGAACAAATGGGTGGGCCTTTCCTACCCCTTTACCTAGCTCTGGGGTTGGCAAGCTAAGACCTGGGGGCCGGATGCAGCCCACTGGGCTCATTAATCCATCCCACGAACCTTGCGGACCCTGCCGCCCGCTTGGTCAGTCCCCGTGCTAAACCGGCACAGTGTGCAGGCCTCGCTGCACGGGGACTGACTTCCGCGACGCTGGTATGGCTTCAGATTGGCTGCAGGAAGACGGGAGACAGATGTGATGTTTACTGGTGTCCTGTTCCTTTGTTTCCCAGTTGGTTCTCTGCTTTCACAGAGAGAGCATGTATATTTCTTTTCTGTCTGCGTAGTTAGAAATAAAACACTCTTTGCAATGTAGCTCATACTATCTCGGCTCCTTCCCTGTGTGCTGGATGCTCTGGGAATGTGCTGGGAGCCTCATCAAAGGCTCAGGTCGTTAATCACGTCGGAGGACTCGACCAGAAGAGTTGCTTGGTCGAACGCAAGTCCAACAGGAAGCTCCTGCAGCCAATCCAAAGCTGCAGACGCCCCCTTCCTTCCCGCTGAGGTGGCCATGTATGGCCAATAGTCGAGCGGGAGGAGGTGGTGGCGGTGGGGAGGCTGCCTCCGCTGCCCAAGCTAGCAGCATGGGCTTTGTGCCCCGCGGACCCCTGGCTGAGGCAGAGGATGATGACGGTGTTGCCGAAGATGAGGCAGCATTGGCGGCTGCATCATGAGTGGCGGCGCGGGGGGGGGTCCTTTTGGGAGGAGGGGTGCTTTCGGGAGAGGGTAGGTCCAGACCTCCACAAGGTCTGAGGGACAGTGGACTGGCCCCCTCCTGAAAAAGTTTGCTGGCCCCTGACCTAGCTGCTAGGAAGGAGACTAGCCAGAGTTGTGGGTGGCTGAGCTGGAAGCAGGCAGGAAGCTAGAGACACAAATACACATTTTGCGTTGTGCTGGAGTTTAGGGCTCCCCTGAAAACCAAAAGGGAAGAAAGATCTGTTGGGGTGTTAATGCTGTGAGCCCCTACATCTTATGCTCAGGTCGTATCCATGCGTAAATAAAACTAATGTGTCCTAAAGACACCACATTCTCCACTGACCTACAGTCAAAGGAAACCAAACCTGGAAGAGCACTTGAGGCCTCTGGAGTTTCTCCCTGCTCAGAGACGGCAACTGTAGAATCAGAATAATCTTTATTTGCATCAGCCACTAGCCATAGCAATAAAATAAAATGCAATGCAATGTGTTGCAGATAGAGGTGAAAGCTTAACTATACAAAATACATTCTGGAGCTTTACATTAATAAGCAAATAACAGATCTTATTCTAAGGAGATGGCAATGACAGAGTTAAACATCAGTTTCCCGTTGCCCGTTGGAGCACCCCACCCAGTCTCTTGTACTGCGGTTACTTTCATTTCCCTGTGCAGTTGTGTGTTAGCCGACAGCCTCGTGTTCTGAGCCTCTAAAGTGAGTAGCCGTGCCTTATATTATTGAATGAGAACTTAACGGTATTTGTGATGAATAGCACAAGGAAATGTGGGGTTGGGTTGATTTGCAGCACTCCTTGTCCTGTCGAAAAAGGGCTTTTCTGCCTCTCTCTGCCTGTCTCTTTCAAAGCACTTGCCTAAATAACCCTTCTATATTTCTCTCCGTGAGGCTGGACTAAGAGGCGCAAGCAGAGATGATGATGAATTGTCGGCTTCTGCTGGCATTGCAAGTACTGCATTGGGTGGCAGGTACCATGGTAAAACTCGACAACGGTGGGTTTGAAGACCTGGTCATTGCCATCAATCCTAGGATACCTGAAGACGACAAAATTGTTGAAAGCATAAAGGTGAGACAGCTAAATAGTTGTGAACATGTTTGATTTAGCATCTTACCCCTCAGCGACTGGGATAGGCTGTGAAAATGCACTGTGCGTTTTACGAGTGTCGGTTTCCCCGCAACAAGGCCCAGACATATATGGCAGCCGCAAGAAAACAGGCTGTCTTCCCCCACAGGCGCATTAAAAAAATATACTTTTAAAATCTGCAAAACTTGCAGTGACTCCAAACCTTCTGATCCTTCCCTCTTGTGAACTGGTGCCACCATTTTGGCTCTGTGACGTAGGAGCCAACTCCTAGGGGACGAGGTCTCTTCAACTCCCCCAGTAAAATATTTGAGAGGGCCAGGTGCACCCCCCCAAGTTGATGGACATTGCCATTGAAATGGTGTTTGTGTGCTTGTATATTGTGATTGATCATTTTATTCAAATTGGCACCCCTGCTCTATACATGCATTGGTGCTCACACCCTGAGTGCTGAAAATAGAGGGAAAGGGAGAGATAGATTGTGAAACAGCAACAGACTTCCTGAAGGACCATATGCCTTCCTCTGTGTGGTTTTGTTGTGTGCCAGAACACTGCCATGTACTTGGAGGTGAATGTTGCTCAAGTTTTGACACTGTACATTTAAAGCACAGCCAACGCACATTTAAAGTGAATTCCCCCAGCTTTACCTTTCCCATTCGCAGAGCTACTTGTTCCCAGCACTTTTAATTAGCTACAATATGCAGAAATCTTTGGGGTCAAGTCGTGGGCTTTAAATGTGCGGTGTGACTCTGCAGATGTAAAACACCCCATCAATTAATAAGAAATAAATAAGTAATAAGTTGCTTGTAGATTTTTACAAAAGTAACTCCGCTGACACACTCGGGGGCTGGGAACGGAAGCCCCACGTGAAATGGCTGAACTTATGTGTGCTGTTTATACTATTTTATTGTCTCAAACCCCATGAAAAGACTTTTGAAATCTTTTAATCGATTGGTAGTGCAAGAAAAAAACAAAATTGGTTATGAAAAGGCGCAAAAGTTTTGGTTTTTGCCAAAAGGTTTAAACACCACATGGCCTATTGATTGAGCAGTTGGAAATCCTTCAAATTATCTAGGATTATAGGTTTAAACTAATCAGAGCTCTGTGAAGCACCAAATTTCTGGAGATAATTCCAGAAGTGGGATGTCACTACCAAGAACAACCCTTCCCTCCACCATCACTTGACAAAATGGCTACCACTTTGGAGAAACAAAACAAAAATGTCTTTAACAGGAGGTAATTTACCCAGAAGTTTGTCAGGTAAAACTTTTTGCAGAACTTCTTTCCCCCTCATATCAGGGTGGAATCTACACACATATAAAAACCATTCTGAAAACGCTTTTGGAAAAAACCACAAACCAACTTAAAAAAAATATATATACATTGAATTTTCCATAAGGCTCACCTTCGCCATCTAGTGTCACATTGTATATTGCACTTGAAACACACTTAAAACGTTTTGTTTGCAGCTGTGTAGCTGAGTCTCAGGTGTAGTTTCGCATGCTAAAATCCCTATATGTCAGGCTGCAGTTAATGACGCAGGAGTATCCACACAAAAATGTGGCATGTGCAATGCATCTACTAGCCCAGGAGTCAGCAAACTTTTTCAGCAGGGGGCTGGTCCACTGTCCCTCAGACCTTGTGGGGGGCCGGACTATATTTTGAAGAAGAAGAAAAAGAATGAATTCCTATGCGTCATAAATAACCGAGAAATGCATTTTAAATAAAAGGACACATTCTTCTCATGTAAAAACACGCTGATTCCCGGACCGTCCGTGGGCCAGATTTAGAAGGCGATTGGGCCGGATCCAGCCCCCGGGCCTTAGTTTGCCTACCCTTGGAGAAAGGGATTTAGGGAAAGAAAGATGGCAGAAAAGACCAAAGGGCACATTCCGTAAAACCCAATGCAGATACTAGTCACTGACAGACAGAGGTCTTTCCTTTCCTTGTTAGGACATGGTCAAAGAGGCGTCAACATATCTCTTCAGTGCTACACAACAAAGATTTTACTTCAAGGCTGTAAAACTTGTCATTCCTTCAACATGGAAAGACAAAGCAGAGTATCAGAGAGTAACTACAGAAACCTATGACAAGGTAAGTCTAGGGGAATACTTTAAATTGCAAATGTACTTGTAGTATTTTTTTAAAAAAGAAAAGATTGGGGCAAATGGAAAGATCAGAGGGAAAAATAAATACAGAATAAGACTATGCCATCACTTTTGAATGCAACTGAGTTTACTTTTGATTGAACATGGATATCAGAGAGTAACTACACAAACCTATGATAAGGTAAGTCTAGGGGAATTGGGCTGCATAAAATATATTGTTCTTACAGATGTGATAATGGTCAAGGCTAGATTAAAAAGGTTGGGGACCCTGGTGCGCTCCCAAAACAGGACCCCCCTTTATCCTCAAAGGAATGCATGAAATAAGGAACTGGAAAATATATTTTGAGAAATCTTAAATACTAGCACAAGTGGCTGGGCCTGGTGAAATTTTAATTCCTTACCCCTACAGTTATGATTCATGGGTTCCCACTTAATTTTATTTTGATTTTAAATGTGATTTGAATTGTATTTAAACTAATTGTTTGATTTTGTGTTTTTAATGTATTTTATATATTTAGTGTTAGCCGTCCTGAGCCCGATCTCGGTTGGGGAGGGCGGGGTGTAAATAAAATTTATTATTATTAACAAATTTATTATCACATATGCTGTCACGGACTACGAAAAGTACTTGGAGCATTTGCCATTTCACAAGTCAGCAAAATAACAAGCCTTTTGGTGATCCTGAGCATTTTTCATTCTTTAAACTCACTTCTCATTGTGTTTTCTCACTTTCGAACGTCAGTTAGTCATGAGTTCTCCCTCACATGGCTGTTGTGAAGATTTACGAGGCATAATATGATCATAATATGCTTCTATCGTAGGCATCAAATGTTGACTCCTTTAACCCAAGTGATGGATCCTTGTAAAGGCCAATCTATTTTGGAGATTAGTACAAGGCTTCAACCATTCTTAACTTAGCTTGTTGGACTCCATGTCTTCTTTGATGTACAGAGTAACACCACCTCCAGGATGCTCTTGCCTGGCTTTCTTATAATGTCAGTATCCAGATATAACCATGTCCCATTGTCTCTCTCCATTCTACCTGACATCCGTCATGCCCACTCCATCCACGCTATCCTCTAAGGACAAGCACTTCAGCTTGCCCATCTTGGCTGGGATACTTCCAGCATTAGTATATAAACACATATATATATTACCTCTCTGAGATACTTTTGTTTTAGCCTACAGTTCTTTGGCTCCCAAAGTTATGCTTTTGGTACCATCCTGCTTGCTCTTAAGTTATAAGGGCTCCTTATGTAGAGGTTAGAGAACATTAAGTGCTTATTGAGCATTTTTGTTCTGAAAGGGGTCAGCAAACTTTTTCAGCAGGGGGCCGGTCCACTGTCCCTCAGACGTTGTGGGGGGCCGGACTATATTTTGAAAAAAAATAAAAATGAACAAATTCCTATGCCCCATAAATAACCCAGAGATGCATTTTAAATAAAAGCACACATTCTACTCATGTAAAAACACCAGGCAGGCCCCCACAAATAACCCAGAGATGCATTTTAAATAAAAGGACACATTCTACTCATGTAAAAACATGCTGATTCCCGGACTGTCCGCGGGCCGGATTTAGAAGGCGATTGGGCCGGATCCAGGCCCTGGGCCTTAGTTTGCCTACCCATGGGTTATACGAACGTTCATCTTGATTTCTATGCAGGGTATTATACATCTTCCTGTTGATCATTGGTCCACTCCTTGTTTCTCAACACATTTCCTAACCGCAAAAAGCCGTTTCAAAACAAACTGATTTATTGTGCTAGGGTGACAGAGCACTTCAACCCACTTCACTTATACAGATCAGAATTTACGAATGTGCATTTGAATGCACATTCACAAAATATAGACAGTCTAGAGATCTGGACAGCCTATAATTGTGACTATGTATACATTCACTGACAGTAACCCTGCAGTCCGATGTGCTCTTTACTGAGTGTAAGCCTAACTGAATATCAAGACTTCTTTCTACATCTACCTGCATAGTATTAGGCTACACACTTCACAAATTGCACAGGTACTTATTCAAAAGATTATCTCAGCTGTTTTAGGAGAATACACTATTAGGCTATAACTTCTTTTAAATGTGCATTGTAACCCTTGGGCCCAAATCTGTGTACAGTGGGACCTCGGGTTACAAACACTTCAGGTTACAGACCCCTCTAACCTGGAAGTAGTACCTCTGGTTAAGAACTTTACCTCAGGATGAGAACAGAAATCGTGCAGCAGCAACAGGAGGCCCCATTAGCTAAAGTGGTACCTCAGGTTAAGAACGGTTTCAGGTTAAGTTCGTAACCAGAGGCACCACTGTACTGTATTTCTGTTCAGAATCAAAATCACCGTATAAGATTAATCACCGTATAAGATTAATCACCGTATAAGATTAATATCAACAGTATTGGTTGTTTCTTTTCTCTGTGATCTTTTAGCCGTGTTCTGTTTTATTTCAGGCCGATGTCGTAGTCGCAGAACCTTTCGCCAAATATGGAGACGATCCCTACACCTTGCAATATGGCGGATGTGGGGAACCAGGGCGATACATTCATTTTACTCCTAACTTCTTGACCAACGGCAATTTGTATAATGCTTATGGTCCTCGAGGTAGTACCTGTTTTTATTATTATTATTAAAATGTGAGTCAAGGTTTCAAAAGATAATGCTTTCCGCGAATTCCATTAACTCCTTAAATGTAGTTGCTTACTTACTCGAAAGCCTCCTAATTTGTCTGTAACAGATCAGCAACATTTCCATGTCAGATTCATCAGAACATACTCTAGTAACAACGTCTCCTTTCTTGAAGCTAGTTGAACATGCTCCCATTCCATTGTACCACCTCATCCCCTCAACCTGAAGCCATTAATAAATTGGCTTTAAAACGACCATAGCCAATAATACCCTGTGCTGTGAGAGCTCGAGGCTCACAGGTGAAGCCCAGCAATATTCCATCAAGAGGTCAAGTCAATGGTTTGAGTCAGAAACTCAAGGTGAGAGTCCATGACAAGGTCATGAGGCTGTGCTACAAGATGTTGTCAGAAGAAGGAGAAGAAAAAGAAGAAGAGTTTGGACTTGATATCCCACCTTTCACTCCCCTTAAGGAGTCTCAAAGCGGCTAACAATCTCCTTTCCCTTCCTCCCCCACAACAAACACTGTGAGGTGAGTGAGGCTGAGAGACTTCAGAGAAGTATGACTAGCCCAAGGTCACCCAGCAGCTGAATGTGGAGGAGTGGGGAAGCGAACCCGGTTCACCAGATTATAAGTCCACCGCTCTTAACCACAACACCACTGCTGGCTTGCACCGTGACTGAACTGAAGCCTTATAGACGTTGATGGGAGGGAAGGAGGGACTTTTGAATCAGATCAAAAAGTTGCCTATCCCTTTCATAGTTATTTAATTGCTTGTGTGTGTGTGTGTGTTGTACATTATATGTTTCTTCCCCCCGCCCCAAAAAAGTGTGTCACATTGAGCTTTGTCATTGTCTTTCACAGGTAGAGTCTTTGTTCATGAGTGGGCTCATCTCCGATGGGGTGTCTTTGATGAGTATAACAACGATGCACCTTTCTATGCTCCTGGAGGAGACAACTTGCCTGAAGCCACAAGGTACCATCCCATACCGTCCAGTTATTGTCTAGACTGGATTAGCCTGTAATTTGATGATATACAGAAGAGACTTTTCATTAGGGGAAAATGCTGCAATGTCTTGGCGGACAGCACACCCAATGAGTACCTTTTTCACACCACACACCCCCATTTTGTAAGAAACACGTTTATTGAATAACACAAAAGCTCATCACCACCACATTCCGCAACAAGAGTTTTCAATTCATTGAGAAAAGGCTGCGTCCGAAGTTACTGCCACTTCTGGGAAATGTTGTCACGCCCCATGCCATGCCCTCTTCCTCTGGCTTTCAGGATAGCAGCTTTGCCCCTTCCAGCCCCAGAGCCCTGGTTTTCGTTCTCCGTACTTCTCAGCATTGGAGCATTTTTCAGCATATCGGGCAAGATGAGGAATCGGGTTTTGCTCCCCCGAATGTACACCTGCTTTAGATGTGCCACACGGCCATCTCTGTAGGTCACTGTCATGTTGCCCACTACCTACTTTTCCTTGCCCATCTCCTTATCAGCTGCAATCTTCCAAGCACTCAAGGCCTAGGTAGGATGTCGAGAGACCCCTTGTTACTCCATTAAGCCTTCTTCCCATTATTCATATCGAGGAGTCCTTTGGGACAATAGCAGTTAGCACAGGCATAGGGCCAACCTAATCAACACCCCTAGACGGTCTGGTTGCAACTGTTTGCAATAGGTAAGTCTTAGGATTGCCATATTTCAAAAAGTGAAAATCCAGACCAAAGGTTGTTGAGCATTTTTCTTGGGGGTGGGGTGGCAAAGTTTGAGGGAAATCACCCAAAAATCAATATTTCCAATATGGGCTTGCCATACACCTGGGTTTTTCCAGACATTTTAGCCGCTTGCCGAAAATTCTGCCCGGATGCCATTTTCGACGGACAAATCCTGGCTATGTCTGATGTATGGCGGCCCTAGTCAGTCTTAATCATTTCCCCAGCCAAATCCAGTTGTTGTTGCTGCTGCATCGTCGTCGTCGTCATGATTCTTTCTATTGTTATTGTTATTTTAATTTATATCCCATAGCAGCAAGGCAGGAGTGAATGACTGATCTAATCTGCACACAGTAGTCATTTAGGAAAAAAGAGACCTTTCCCCCGAATTGACTATTCTGTGTAAATTAGATCACTTAAAAAGAATTAAAATTGTTATTAGTCCAGAGGTTTACATTATCGCCACAGGAAGAAAACTGCCTTAAAATGGTACAGAAATCCCTGTTTGCAGACCCATATATTTGTGACATAAAATGCTTGCCTGGAAGCAACCTATGTGACTGAGGGCTCATCATCACTTCCACTCGTGCCACGCCACTCAAAAGTGGATAAGTTCTTAATCAAACTGTATTATATCCACGTTACTTAGAATTCTACAGTCCGATCATCTGGGAGTGCTGGTGGGCATTTTAGCAACTGTGGCATGGACAAAAACATGCCATCACGTAACTGCTTATTTCTCGACTTTTAAATTGACTGGCCATTATTTGTTTCTATTATATTGATTAGGTGCTCGACGGATTTTACCGGTCAATACATATTCCCACTTGGTGGCAAACAATACAGACGTTGCAAAATTGATCCCCAAACTCAGCTGTTTGAACACGGATGCGTATTTTTACCAAGCAGGCGCCAAGATACTGCAACTTCTATAATGTATTTGCAAAGTCTCCCTTCGGTAAGTACGACAAATCTCAGTTGGGATCTATTCTTCTCCGGTGTCTGCCTTCAAAAACACAAGATTTTTTTTTGCTAAGGAGGTAGGCAACCTCAACCTCCGTGTTTAAGGGGGGAATGGACTGCGTTCTTCCTGCACCTGCAGGAGCCCAGAAAAAAACATTTCACAGCAGAACGAGGCTCACACAGACAACCTCTTTCTATCCACACACCCCCCTTTTGACTTTTTAAACTTTTGAGGTTTGCCCAGGATTTCTTCTACTCCTGCATACACCAGGGATTTCTTGTGTTATCTTATACCTCCCTCTTGTGTTGTGCCGTTGCTATTTCAGCCACATGAGCACTGAGACTCCCCCTTGTAGTGATGTATGGACATTGTGACGTTAACATATGAGGGTGCTGGAGAGGAAATAGTTAAACAGGTTACCCAATCAGAACCCAGGGGGTGGAGTCAGAGGGACTATAAAACCAGCTCTGGGAGGGGCGAAGAGGGAGTTTGTTGGGTGGTTGGTTGGAGTGGGAGTCAACTGGGATAGAGTCTGTGGGTAGGTTGAGTTAGCGTAGTGAAATAAGCTGAGTCAGGAACAGTTAGGAGCTAGGAAGACAAGTAAATATCTGTGAGGTTTAGAGAGTGAGAGCAGGTAGCGGAAGTTATAGGTCTGGATAGGCACCCCATGATTGTAATTGACCGAGACTGTTTATGAAACCACACGCTTATTAAACTGCAATAAATAAACAGAAGTTTATGTTTCAATTTAACCCTGACTGGACTCAGTATTGTCCCAGGTAGGGCCTTGGTGGTGGCAGCGAGAAATAAAGTGGTGGCACAGGGATCAATAGACAGTGAAATGTCTGGGGACCCTGTGTGATCACCACAGACATTAACTTGTGACATGAGAAGTGAATATCTGTTCAAGCCCTGGGAGATCAATAAGCATAGCTGTCAACTTTCCCCTTTTCTTGCGAGGAATCCTATTCAGAATAAGGGAATTTCCCTTAAAAAACAGGAAAAGTTGACAGCTATGTCAATAAGTAAACTTGAACAGACTCTTTGGAAACTCTTTTCATTGCATTTTTATGAGGTTAAGGGCAACAGACGTCTAGAACTAAAAATCTGCTGAACACCCTGTAGCCTTTTTTTGTCTGTGTCGATGAATGTCAATCTTTGCAGCACCTCTTCGTAAGGAACAGCTGCCATGAAATAGGAATTGCTAATGAGGCTGTGATCTTGACCTGTCCTTCCTATCTTTTATTTAGGTTACTCAGTTCTGTAACAAAAGCAACCATAATATTAAAGCAACAAATTTGCAGAATAAAATGTGCAGCTACAGGAGCACCTGGGAAGTAATTATGGACTCTCCTGACTTTGCCAGTTCATCTCCAATAACGGTTCCCCCACCTGATCCCACTGTCTCCTTGCTGAAAAAACAGGAGAGAGTTTTGTGTCTAGTGCTTGATGTTTCCGGGAGCATGGATGCGGTAAGTCTGCTTTCCATGTTCAGAAGATACGTTTTGAGAAAGTTCAAAAATTATGGTTTTCATGTCCATAGGGAAAACAAATGGACACTGAGGTCTAGCTCCAAGGGCCTTCTGGCAGTTCACTGCAAGAAGTGAGGTTATAGGGGACCAGGCAGAGGGCCTTCTCGGTGGTGGCGCCCTCCCTGTGGAACACCCTCCTGTCAGGTGTCAAGGAGATAAACAACTATCTGACTTTTAGAAGACATCTGAAGGCAGCCCTGTATTGTGAAATGTTAATGTCTGATGTTTTACATTTTTTAATGTGCTGTAAGCCACCCAGAGTGGCTGGGGAAACCCAGCCAGATGGGCAGGGTATAAAAAAATAAAATTATTATTATAAATGTCAATACAGCATTGGCATTTCTGTAGTAAATGACACTGTATATTAGGAACAGTGAGGCTCAATTTTGTTGTATCTCAGTTGTAGGGAACCTTCAGCCTTCCACATACTGCTGAACTACAACTCCCATCAGTCCCAGCAAGCATGGCCAGTGACCATGGGATTTGTAGTTCAGCAAACATTCATCACACTTTGTCTACCTGATTAGATACGTTTATTTGAATATTTATCCAGCTGTGGTAACAAATCCATACAGGAGATGTGCTGCAGGGAAGGGCAACGTGGCCGTTGTGTGCCAGAGGGCAACCTCAATCAAATTCTGTGTTGGTGCAGGGAACCCAGAGCAAGTGATGGATTGTGGGAGATGGAAAACACTGGGTAGGGGAGAGGCAGAATGGATGAAGCATGGAAGGAGGAAGGGGGAAATCCAACTGCAAGCATTCGGTTGAGATATCTAAAGAGATCAGTCAGGTCTTTTAGGATTCTCAGTAGAGAAGGAAGCTTCAGCAGCTACCCATGTTCTGGTGATAATCCCTGAAGTGGTTTCAAGAGACATGGGAATCATTTGACTGAAAGTCAGGGTAAAGACCATCTAACTAACCAAACAACTGCTAAGCAAATAGAAACAAGATTCTGTTAACTGAATTGGTATTTCCATATATAACATATGGAAATGTGTTCAGCAGCCACAAAAATATTATAGGAGAAATAGTTTTCGAGAGCACAATTCACGGGACAAGCCCCTTTGAAATGAAAGCTGCTGTTGTGCACCTCCCATCCATTTCAGAAAAAATTCCAGATGGATTGCGCCCTGAATCACAACATGAATGAGGTTATTTGGATACTCTGAAACATTATGGATTTGTCTATATTCACGAATGTTTTGCTGATCACTATACTTACAAATAAAGCTTCAGGGAAATTTTTTATTTGCTTCTCAGAATGCAATGGCAAGTCTGTGAATGCTGTTTGTTTTTTAATTATTATTATTATTCACATGCAGAGCAATCGCATTGGTCGGCTGAAACAAGCTGCAGAAGTATTCATCCTGCAGATTATTGAAGCGGGATCCTGGGTTGGGATAGTCACGTTCAACAACAGAGCATCAGTTCTGACTGGCTTGAAACAGATCAGTAGCAACAGCATGAGGCAAACACTTGCAGGCTATCTTCCTACCTCAGCTGGCGGAGGAACCAACATATGTTCCGGCGTGCAGTCAGGATTTCAGGTGAAGGAGAAGAAAAAAAATCTAGATTATTTTATTCCTATGCTTCTGTTTAGTTGAGTGTTGTTGTTTAGTCGTTTAGTCGTGTCCGACTCTTCGTGACCCCATGGACCAGAGCACGCCAGGCACTCCTGTCTTCCACTGCCTCCCGCAGTTTGGTCAGACTCATGTTTGTAGCAGGGTTGCTGCATATAATAGTTGTGTTCTAGGGGGCATATCAGGTCTCATAAAAGCCAAGAAAACTGGAATTCAGTGCAGACAAGATAGAGGTGCTGTTAGTAGGTTTGCTGCCTGGGTAAGTGTTGTTCAACCAGTTCTGGATTCTTACTCACCTGAAAGCTCAGGTTCATAGCTTGGGTGGAGCCAAAAGAGCCAGCGTGGTGTAGTGGTTAAGAGCGATGGACTCGTAATCTGGTGAACCGGGTTCGCTTCCCCGCTCCTCCACATGCAGCTGCTGGGTGACCTTGAAGTCTCTCAGCCTGAAGTCCAAACTCCTCCTCCTCCTTCTCCTTCTCCTTCTCCTTCTCCTTCTCCTCCTCCTCCTCCTCTTTCTTCTTCTTCTTCTTCTTCTTCTTCTTCTTCTTCTTCTTCTTCTTCCTGCTTGACTTAGCAATGATCTTAGGGACTGGGCAGCCTGATAAACTGGTCCTAAACTGTGAAGGAGCCATAGTGCATCACTGTGAATTCCCTGCAGTGGAAGCTATATGTTTTCTCTCCCTTTCCATATTGAGGCAAAAGAGAGTGCTAAAGTTGATGTCTCCAAGCGTGGGGATAGGGAGGGGGAATTTTTTCAGTTTGCATTTAAAGCCGAGTTTATCACTTTCCTAAGCAATTTGACAACCCAAACATGCCACCCTTCGAAATTCAAAATTTTCCAAATTTGGTGCTTTAAGGTTTCCTCTCTTTTTTTTGATATTAATTTTTATTAGTTTTCAATTAGTTTTCAATTTATTAGTTTTCAATCCAAAATGAATTGCTTTAGTTTTCCAGCTCACCAATGTTTACAAAAATGAACATATTACGTACAAGTTTGCATGAAATGGAATCTATTATTAAAAAACCTATAATCAAGATGCATAATCAAATGGGGGGGGAATCTATAATCAAGATGCATTATATTAGGAGAAAATGCTTGCAAAATTATGCGCTTGAGTGAAAACTGCATATAAAAAAACATGTTTATTAGGAGAAATTTGCACTAAAATGCTGAATAATTTTCATGAGGGATTTTAAAAATAAAATTCTGAAATTGCTGCATAACTGCAAAGATTGAAATTTAAGAATATAAAAAAGAGAAACTGTGAGGGCTGATATTGACAGGTCTTCTGTTCCTAGGCATGGATTTTAGGGGAATGCTATGGCAGTTGTTGTGGAACAGCAGCTAGACAGAGGAGTGAGTAACCCAATTTGCACATATTTTCTACCCTTTGAAAGTAGTGAAGTAGCAAATGCTGTTTCTCCCTTAACAGTAACATATATGGCACTTATCTCACCGCAGTCCACTTCCTATAGAGGTACGAAATTAATTCACACATATGTCACAGAGCAGCAACCGTACAACATACTTGCAGAGCTTTGTAGCAGTTATGCCATACACTTTAAGTGTGTGCCCTTCTACATTACTAATTGCTGTTAATTTTTCAATCCTTTTTTTCCATACAGGTCTTTTTACAAAAGTATTCAACTACAAAAGGCTGTGAAATTGTGCTCTTGACAGATGGCGAAGATCCTACTATAACCTCTTGTTTTGAAGAAGTTCAAAATAGTGGGACTATAATTCACACCATTGCTTTGGGACCAAGTGCTGCAGAAGAACTAGAAGGATTGGCAGACATGACGGGTAAGTAATTGAACGAAATGTCTGAGTCTTACAGGAGTCTTCTGTGCTACTTAGTGCCAGCTGGTGTCTTGCAAAAAGTTTGTTTCACTTCAGACACACACTGTCCGCAGCAGTATTCAGAGAAGCCTCTCTCAGCAGCAATTCCCCTCATACAGAGAGAGAGAAGACAGAAAAGCAGTTAAAAACAACAGTTACAGTCATACCTTGGTTCTCAAATTTAATCCGTTCCGGGAATCTGATTGGCTGCAGGAGCTTCCTGAACTCAATCGGAAGCCATAGAAGCCGCGCTGAACGTTCAGCTTCCAAAAAATCGTTCAAAAACTGAACACTCACTTCCTGTTTTTGATCATTCGGGAGCCGAAATGTATGAGTTCCAAGGTGTTTGGCATCTGAGGTTCCACTTTACTTGAATAACAGTCACAACACAATGGAACGCCTCTCACATGTGACTCACAGTCATCCAATCACATGAGAGAGCTACAGCCCTAGGAAAAACCCATGTTAAAAACACACAGAAATTTAACATGAATAAATATGACTATTTCAGGAAATTAAACCATGATCCTTAACAATCCCAAGTCCTATTGCCGCATTTACTCGAGTCTCATACATGTACGTCATCAAATCTAACGCACACCTCAACTTTCAGAACCTTGAAACAAACAAAAAAATGTATTTGCTGGCGAATGTAAATGTGCTGTCGAATCTAATGCGCACCTTCATTTTTCGCAATGTGATTTGGCCCCAGAAAGTGAGCATTAGATTTGAATAAATGTGGTATTCTGTCATTACGGCATTTGTGAGGCTAGAACGCCATATTGAAAATGGGGAGACCGAGGTTCAGCCACAAAAGCTCACTTTGCACTGTCTTTCAGCAGACTTGTTGTGAGGATAACATTGGAAAGGGTCTTTGTGTACTGGGTTAGGTGCGGTGGTGGGATACAAGGGCAATTAAGAAATCTAGAGTTTCCTTCCTTCCACTGAGTTAAGTGGGCTAAATTTTCCTTAGCCATTCCAGTTGCTGCCTATGACCACAAAACACAAACACCTTGGGGGTGGCATTCTATGAAATAAAAAACCCTAGTGCAAGAATTAGTGATCATTCAATGAAATTTTCACCATCCCCCCCCCCCCGCGCCGTGTAGCGGCCACTACAAGGTATCATACAAAAGCTAATTGCATTTTATTCCACCTGAAAAATTCTTCTAATTATTATTATTTCCAACCACATTTCAGGAGGTTCAAAATTTTCTGCCACTGACAGTTTGGATTCCAACGGCCTCATCGATGCTTTCAGTGGAATTTCTTCAGGAAGTGGAGATATCAGTCAACAATCTATTCAGGTTTGAACTGCAAAGATTTGAGTGCATGCAGCAGTCTATCATCATCATCATCACTATCGCTATTATTATTTGCTTAAAATTACTAGGCACCCTACAAGAATTAAAGTCAACACGGAGTGAAATCAATTCTACAGCCCATGTTTTTCTATTATTGAACAGGGGGAGGAACAGGTATTAAAAGAATTAAAAAAGAAGGACAAACGGCCAAAATGGATTTTGGCAGAGCTGAAACATTTCACAATGTACCATTCTGAGTTCAAATGAATGTGTGATATAATTCATTTTTATTTGCCTGAACAAATAACAAATTGGAGAAGAGGTTTCATTAGGAAAATAAGGTAAAGGTAAAGGGACCCCTGACCATTAGGTACAGTCGTGACCGACTCTGGGGTTGCGGTGCTCATCTCACTTTATTGGCCGAGGGAGCCGGCGTACAGCTTCCGAGTCATGTGGCCAGCATGACTAAGCCGCTTCTGGCGAACCAGAGCAGCGCACGGAAACACCGTTTACCTTCCTGCCGGAGCGGTACCTATTTATCTACTTGCACTTTGACATGCTTTCGAACTGCTAGGTTGGCAAGAGCAGGGACCGAGCAATGGGAGCTCACCCCGTCGCGGAGATTCGAACCGCCGACCTTCTGATCGGCAAGTCCTAGGCTCTGTGGTTTAACCCACAGCACCACCCGTGTCCCTCATTAGGAAAACAGTATATGACAAAAGTGTTTCTTTAAAAACAACAACCCAGCACCATGGTTCCAGCCCAGCTACCCATTGCCAAAATGTGGAAACTGGAGATTTGAGTTGCCTCATCTAGCATTGTCCAAATATTGGCTGGCCATTTCCAAGGCTGTTGAGTTAGAGGTGTGATTGTTTCCACCTGTTTCAACGTAGCTGCTTATCTGCCTTCCTCCATTTCTTTAACATTGAAATATTGATAGAAACTAAATTTATCACCACTGGACAAACCAATGTCTGTATGGGGCAAGACCTATCATGTTATGACTGTACCAGCATTTTTATTAAAGTCTGAGTATTGGATATTACTTGTCCAGCAGAACTAACCATTGTGAAGGCACCTTCTAAACAATGTACCGCCACTCATTTCTTTACATCTTATGAAAGGAAATGAACCACATGTATTCAATTTATAAAACTTTTCACATACTGTATACTTATTTCTCCCCCCACCAACAGCTTGAAAGTAGAGGGCAAAGCGTCCGTTCCCAAGACCAGCTGAATGGTATTGTAACCATTGATAAAACAGTGGGGAATGACACTTTCTTCGTGGTGACGTGGGGCGCATCCCCACCGGAAATTCTGCTCACAGATCCCAAAGGAAGAGAGTACACTGAAAAAGACTTTGCAATTGATGACACCAACGTCCGAACAGCTCGCCTCAAGATTGATGGAACCGCAGAGGTAAAAACTGAGCTCTTCTCAAACTTCTCTATGCATCGAACCATCACTAGGAATGTGCCTATTCCTTTTTGAAAAGGAAGAAATGACTGTAGCTGTGTTAGTGAAGGGTTGCGTCACTACAGCAAATTATTTAAGAGCCATTCACTACTAACCTTTACGACATTTAACATTCAGTTGCTTGTCTGAAATTATAGTTTCTGTGCAACTGACCGGTTTATTACTTTATCCCTTATAGGGCAGAATCTCACAGAATAATCATAGAATTATCAAACTGTAGAATTGTAGAGTTGGAAGGGACCACAAGCATAAACTAGTCCAGCCCCCTGCAATGCAGGAATCTTATGTTATATCTATACTATTAGGCAGTCCATTATACCATGCGAAGTCTGAGGCCTTTGTTGTTCTGCCTGATTGCGCCACTTAGGGCAGCCCAGACCTACTTTTATGCCTGGGTAGCGGACCTGAGGGAAGACTGTGTCCCTCAGGTCCTCTCCCCAAGCCCTGCCGCCCAGGCTGCTGCGGATTGGTCTTTTCAAACTGCGGGCCTTATGTTGCCCATGATGCTCTGTGGTGGCCAGGAGGGAGCGGCAATGGCTGTGGAAAGATGGCGAGAATCTGCGGGGCTGAGGAAGCACTGCAGTGGGCCGCAACTGCCGCTCACTGTGGAAGGAGTAAACGTGCATTATATGTCCAGCTTGCCACTGCTGCTAGTACCTTCTGCACTTGTAGATATATATTTTGTAGAAAATGACATCCATCTTTATCAAAGCACAACAATAACCAAAGAAATGGAACTGTATTCACAAACATTACTTAGATATGCAATATTCTTCTATATTTCAGACAGGAGATTGGATTTACTCAATTCAGAATACATATTCAAACGCTCAGGTCATATCGATAACAGTCACAACTAGAGCAGCATCTGTCAATGTGCCCCCGGTGATTGTGAAGACCTTTATGAATAGCGATACCAATAAGTTTCCTAGTCCGATGGTTATTTATGCAGAAGTCAGCCAAGGATTCTTACCTGTTATCGGTGCAAAAGTCATAGCCACAGTTGAACCAGAGACTGGAACACCTGAAGAGGTGGAGCTTTTGGACAATGGTTCAGGTATGTTTATTTCGAAATGTTATGGGCAGTATGCATTCTGGATTTATTTATTTTTTCCCCTGAAGCAGAATATTAACTCATCAAATCTAGCATCATCTAAGCTGACATAGTGGATTCAAAAGCTGATCTTGGCTGTTCATCTTTCGCAGTGGCAAATTCATTCATTCTTTTCCGATAGAGTACATACATTGCAACCAATACCAGTGTATGTATTGGGCTTTTCCTGTAGCATGTGACTTGCCTTATCTGCATATGTGAACTGGAACCGTTATATATCAAGATCTCAATCTGGGCTCCCTAGTTTCATCAAGCCGTGCAAATCTGTCAAATTTTGGTATCACAGTTGGATAGTATGGAGACCTACTAATGTTTGGGAAAACGAAAACATCTTTGTCTGGTGCTGAAACGATAGCAAGATTGGTGCCTAGTGGGCCTTCCTGGGAGAGCATTACATAACTGTGAGCTACTACAGAGAAGGTCCACTCACTCTTTGCCAGCCTCCCAACTTCCCTCAGAAATCACACACAGGGAAAGGAACCAGATGATGATCTCTAGATCTGGGTTAGTTCATATGGGGAAAGGGAGTCTTTAATTTTGATGTGTCCTGATTTTGTTAACTGCTTGGCACTGCCAAAAATGGAGCTTGTCAGGTATATGGCAAGCTACAATAATGCTGGTGTGTTGTGTTGTGTTGTGTTGGTTACAACTTGTGTTGGCCTGTGAGGCACAAATATTAAAACATTGGTCCCTTATGATCCTATATTACAGAGATCAGAATCAAATATTCAGCTATTTCCATTAAAACAGCCACACACATTGCAAAATGAACACCTCCCACATAGGTTATGTAGGGTTTTGTTTTTTTAATGACCAGCAGTGAGAGGTGAGCTTTGGGATGTTACATTTTTATATCTGTGTATTCAGGTGCTGATCTTATCAAGAACGACGGGATCTACTCCAGGTATTTCACATCACTCAAAGGAAATGGCAGACACAACCTAAAAGTGCGTGTCGAAGGAAAAGACAAGGTTCTTAAACGGTCCCGTAGGCAGAGTCAAGCTCTCTATGTACCAGGTTTCACAGAAGATGGTAAGCCTGGGTTATGAAATAGCTTTACTGGTGGTATGTTAGCCCTGTGATTCTCAAAATGTGAAATTGGGAGTCTTGGGAGTAACACAAGTTTCTTCTTGCTATTCCCCTCTTCATAAGGCTCTTTATGTAGATCTGAACACTTGAGCACACTTTTCTGATGCATGGGTACTTATATGTGCCCATATTCTTCTATCCTATAATATTCTGGATGTGTTAATCGAATGTGTCATCATTGAACCAATGAAACAACTCCCTAATTCTTACAAGGCTTTAAAATATGACTGTGGTATCCTTCTTTTGGCTAACACTTTCGGCATTTTAGATTCCCATCTGTTTCTATTATTTGCCAGCCCAAAGTCTAGATCAGGCACGTCCAACTCCCAAGAGACTGCAATCTACTCCCAGTATAAAAAAACCTAGCAGTGATCTACCCACTGTCATTGGAGAGAGGAGGAGCGTGGTTGGACATGCCTGGTCTAGATCAAATGGCTTTATTTTCCCCCTAGCAACTCTAGGCAACCATGGTGGAATCTACACACATATAAAAAACCGCTGTGAAAATCCTTTAAAAAAGAAAAGGTTTTGAAAAATGCATCAAATTTGGTGTAGCTCACTGTCGCCGTCTAGTGTCACATTTGTATATTGCACTTTACATTTTAAATGCTTTATTTGCAGATGTATAGCTGGATCCACATATGTAATGCATTGATGCTACGTGTGGGTGGGAAAGAGGCACGTGATCCGTTTACCCACATAACTTGTCTGCATACAGCAGCTTCAGAGTAGGGGAAGCAGCTCAGTGTAGGAATGGAGGTAGATCTGTATTGAGAAGGTGGTGTATAATAAAGTGATTTTAACGTCTTAAATTTATCTGGAGGTGGACACACACACACACACACAATAGGTATTTGCCCATTTTTATTGTTTGTTGTTTATTCTCAGCCTGTTACTATACTCAGCAACAAACAAAAAACTAACATGTGGCGTGGTAATCGACAAAGCGCTAAGCAAAATGTTCCCCCTCACAAAGATTTCTCCTTGTGCAAGACAACGTTCAGCCAGTGTGGTATAGTGGTTAAGAGCAGTAGACTCGTAATCTGGTGAACCGGGTTCGCTTCTCCGCTCCTCCACATGCAGCTGCTGGGTGACCTTGGGCCAGTCACACTTCTTTGAAGTCTCTCAGCCCCACTCACCTCACAGAGTGTTTGTTGTGGGGGAGGAAGGGAAAAAGAGAATGTTAGCCGCTTTGAGACTCCTTAAAGGGAGTGAAAGGCAGGATTTCAAATCCAAACTCTTCTTCTTCTTCTTCTCCTCCCTCTTCTCCCCCTAAATCTGTCTGCATCTGGAGCAGATTTGGGTATGGTGAGAAACAGGCGTGGAGTGGGGGAAGAGGGAGACATCCCAGTGTGCTGGCAATAATTAGCATAAGTCATGGGTTACCTGTATACCTGGATAGAATCTGCCTATTAGCCGTAATGTACCCATCTGACATATCTTTCCCCCTGCTTTTGTAGGTAATATAACAATGAACCCCCCCAAACCTGAAGCTAATGTGAGCAAAACTGAAGGAAATCTGGGAAATGTCACCAGAATTACATCCGGTGGTACTTTTGTAGTATCAGGAATTTCTCCTGGAGGTAGTCATGATGTTCTTCCACCCGGTAAAATCACCGACCTTGAGGTACAGCAAACTGGTGATGGCGGATTCCTTCTCTCCTGGACAGCTCCTGGCGATGACTATGATGTGGGGAAAGGTAAATGTGGGGTTCTGCTTTAATCATTCAGTAAGGACTCTTTGAGAAATATTTAAATTCCGTACTAACCTGGTTGGGGGGTGGAGAGCCAAACAACAGTTTTAGTTACACTAATTTCATAGGCATGTAATACTGTACATCAGGGTCTCCCTTGGACAGCTCCATTAACCCTTCAATGTCCCCAGCGACACTCAATTTTTATTTTTTCTAATTGATGTTTTTGGCCTTCTGTTGTTGTTGTTTGGTGGGAGGAGGGCTGCCTGTTTCTGGCATTGTTGCTTCAATTTTTAAATCCGTATTTTGTTCTTATTTTAAGACATGTATATGTTTTGCCATCGTCCGTCACCCTACCCCACCCCCGCCCCAGGCAAGGCAGATGAGTAGTGTAAGGTTTTATTCTGTGGAATAGCATACCCTCCAACATTTTTCCACTGAAAATAGGGACATCCTATTCCATAATGATAATTTTACTATTTATACCCTTCACATCGGAATGGGTTGTCCCAGACACTCTGTGCGGCTTCCAACATACAGTGGTGCCTCTAGTTATGAACTTAATTCATTCCGAAGGCCCGTTCTTAACCTGAAACTGTTCTTAACTAGAGGCGTGCTTTCGCTAATGGGGCCTCTTGCTGCTGCTGCGCAGCCGGCACACGATTTCCGTTCTCGTCCTGGGGCAAAGTTCTCAACTCAAGGTAACTCTTCCAGGTTAGCACAGTTTGTAACCTGAAGCATTTGTAACCTGAGGCATTTGTAACTCAAGGTACCACTGTATATAAAAACATAATAAAACATTAAACATTTAAAAACTTCCCTATACAGGGCTGCTTTCTGATGACTTGTGGGTCAGATAACTCCATACCCTCCAATGTTTCTCCAGTAAAAATAGGGACATCCTAAGAGGGGTGGGGATGCGGGTGGCACTGTGGGTTAAACCACAGAGCCTAGGACTTGCTGATCAGAAGGTTGGCGGTTTGAATCCCTGCAATGGGGTGAGCTCTTGTTGCTCAGTCCCTGCTCCTGCCAACCTAGCAGTTCGAAAGCACGTCAAAGTGCAAGTAGATAAATAGGTACCGCTCCAGCGGGGAGGTAAACGGCGTTTCCGTGCGCTGCTCTGGTTCACCAGAAGTGGCTTAGTCATGCTGGCCACATGACCCGGAAGCTGTAAGCCGGCTCCCTTGGCCAATAAAGTGAGATGAGCACCGCAACCCCAGAGTTGGACACAACTGGACCTAATGGTCAGGGGTCCCTTAACCTTTAAGGAAAAGTGGGACATTCCTGGAGGGATCAGATCAGAAACTGGGATGGCGTCTGCAAATCACGGACTGTCTCTGGAAAATAGGGACACTTGGAGGGTCTGAAATAGGTACCCTGTTGGGTTCTGTGACATAGGCCATGTTTTTGCATTGTCAAGGAATTACGGTGAACTTCGACAAGCCTAAGCAGCAGCCCGTGTAAACTAACAGTATGTTCTGGAACATTCTCCAGAGTCCTTTGCAGCAGGCAAAGACGTAGTGGCGGGTGTGCATTCAAAGCCAATGTGGTAAGAGTTCCCTGAAGGCAGGAAGTTTGAAATGCACAGAAAGCAAATTTGGGCATTGTTATTCTTAATCCGTGACTGCAGACATAGATCTTGTGTGTTCTTTAATTCCCAATGTCTTCTGCAACACACAATGATGCAATGGGCTGGTGTGCAATATTCTTAGGGTTCCTGGAGGACAGGAAGTTATGCACTGAAAGATAGGCTTGTCACTGTTTCCTTGATCCATGTTTCAAGATGTACATCTAACGCGTGCCTGTTGTGGGTCCTTTATTTTGCAGCTGAAATGTGTGAAATAAAGATGGGTGAAAGACCCTCGGAGTTAACCAATGCAACTTTTGATAGTGCGACTCCCGTGGACACTGCTGGCCTGATGACAGAAGATGCTGGGGTCAAGCAATCCTTTCACTATAAGCCGGTAAACTTCACAAAAGAGAATGGCACCTCCATCTACTTTGCCATTCGTTGCATTGATGGCAGCGACAACGTCGGAGAAATATCTAATATAGCCAGAGCAGTCGTGGTCCTTCCTGCATGGCCAAGTTCTTCTACTCGTCCAGTCACCATTTCTCCTACTCCAGCTGACAATTCCATTATTCCGCCTAGTCCAGGTGACAAACATCCTGGCCCAGTTGACAAATCCACAATTATAATTGTGATAATTGTATGCGTTTCTGTAATTATTTTTTTGGCTGTTGTAGGTATAGCTGTTTGCATTCTACGTAAGCGGAAATATGGAAATTATGTGACGACGACTACCAGTACTACTGTTGCTCCTTGAGCTCTTTATATATATAAAAAAAATAGCCACTTCTTCAACAACATTTCACAATACGTCATATATTGCCAACACAAAGGAAATAAATGGACAGTATAGTTATATCGTATTGACGTATCATTACAATTCAGATGAAGGGAATTGGATAAGTTGCAAATTATACTGGGTTGTATTCAGAGTAGAGTGCTGTGTTTTACTCCAAGTAGATTTACTGAAGCAAATAGTACCCCCAGAAGAAGAAAACACTGGTAGTAGTATTTATTAGCCTCTTAACACATAAAAATAACTTACAGCAAACACAAGAAAACCTCCCCCAAATATATTTATACAATTAAAAGGCAGGTCTAACAGTTTCTGTCTCATCAAAAGAGGCCACAAATACTTAAAAATCCTTAGTATTTTGCACTGTTTTATAAGATCTTAGGACTGTTTGTGCAACAGTTCATAATTATTTTTATAATGGACTCTGGCAAAATTTGACTGGAAAGCTCAGAAACCAAGAGGACAAGAACTTTAAAAAAGAATGCAGAAAATATAATTAAATTAGGAGAACATTGTAAGCAGATGAAAACATTAGCAGGGTTTTAATCTTACCTGTAACGTGACTATGACTATGGACAATTCAGATGCATTTAAAAAATGTGGATAAAAGGCTGATATGCAGGTGTAAACATTGACATTGGGACCCATAGGGGGGTGGGGGGAAGTCTGGAGATTCAGAGGAATTTTTTTATATGGATTTGTAATTGTTTTTGTTATAGATTTGCATTTGTAATATATATATATATATATATATATATATATATATATAAAATATATATATGTTAAACTATTAGTTCTTATTTCCAATTGTGTGTAAATATCTGTCATCTCTATTTCCAGCATCTGCCTCATATTAATCCTTAGAGAATTTCTGTCTTGACTGATTCTATGTCAGGCTAAAATATCCTTGTCATTTTGCGTGTTCAGACCCAGAAACCTCCCCCCTAAATAAATTCACACTTGACTCAAATTTTAGTTTTGGTTTTTGGAAGAATTTAGGCCACAACTTTATTGATTACAGAAAGTGAGTGGTTGCATATGCTCTGGTTTGGCTAGCTCCCTGCACTCTTGCAGGTAGCGCTGACCCAGGGCACCAGCATAGGTCAGCCAAGGGTGAACACCTGGGAAGGTGAAAAGCCGGAACAGACTCTGTTCACCACCCAGATGCCCCCTGGACTCAGGTACGGGCACAACCCCCTCTCAGAGGTTGACCAAACCGGTTGAGTCCCTGGATTCCTTTAATGGAATACCCTTCACATAGGGATGGCAAGAGAATTCTCCCATCCCTATCACCTGAACCAGAGCCTATCCCGTACCCGTAGAAGAGGAGGAATCACCATCTTTGTGCCTTTTGGCCCTGCATTTGGAGCGACGACTCTTCTGCCGCTTGCCACCGGATGACGGGACCCTGGGCATCAGAAGATCCTCCTCAGAAGAGTGGATGTAGAGCACCTCCCTCAAATGAACCAACTGCACCTGAACAGAACTAAAAACATGTGAGGTGCTAGGCTGATAAGAAGTTCCTCTCCCCATAATCTGCGCTGCTGAAAGCCGTGAGCTCCCAAAACCCGAGTGTGCCAACTGCGAACATGGTAGTCCAGACCGAAAGGCCTGCTGAACCGTGGCACTCGTACTCCTGGGATGACCCCTAGGACTAGGTGGGACTGGAATCCTGGAAAACTGCAATTGGGACAACAAAACTCCAGAGGACTCAAAAGCCTCGCTCCCTTCACTCACATCAGAGGGACCATGGGCTTCATAAACAGTAGAAGAGGAGGAAGGGCCAAGCTGGGGATCAGGCTGCCTCCCAAACTGCTGAGCCAATGACTCAAGCTCTGAATTAAACCTTGTCAAGGCCACAAGGTCCAAGCCAATATTGGCCATGATAGCACCCAGACGATCCAGCGTTTGCTGAGGAACTGCTGGGGCTTGCACTGAACGCAGCGACTGAGACAGGCCTCTAATTACCCTTTTTGTAGGGAGAGCAGGACTAGGGTTCCTTTTAACAGGCATCTCAATAAGCTCTCCCAAAGAACAAAATAAATAAACTCTTTAAGCGTTAAAATGGCGATCCCTCCTAAACAAGATTGTGCTCCCACCAAAACAAGACGGCGCTCCTGCCAGAAATGGCACTATCACCAGTGCAAAATGGCGCTCCCTTCAAATAAGCTGGGGAAAATGGCTGCCGGCCCCAGGAATTTCCCCAACCAGCCTTAAACAAATTAGGAGGGGTGTGTGTGTAGAATTTACCAAGCGTACAGAGAGGGAACTCTCAAAAGCCAAAAAGGAGAGCAAAGTAATCACTATAACTTAAACTCTTTCGCCCCCACTAAAACTCAATTCAAGGCTCTTTAAAATAACCGCTCAAAATTGCTGTTCCCAAAGGCCAGGGAAAAAACGGAGGAAACTTCGCAGCCAGAAGCGCTAAAGGCCAAAGCCCTGTGGGTGAAATCTCCTCCAAAAACAAAAGAGAGGGGCTGCTGAGCAGAATTTTTCGGACCGCAGGAACACCGCACATCGGGAGCCCCTGGATCAACCTGCTTGTTTTCTCTTATTTTTACAGCAAATGGTTCTAATCCTAAAAACAAACCATAATGGTGATGGCGGGATGACAGGCTTCCTTGCCCTTGCACTTTTAGTTACCGTATTTTTTGCTCCATAAGACGCACTTTTTCCCTCCTAAAAAGTAAGGGGAAATGTGTGTGCGTCTTATGGATCGAATGTAGGCAGGAAAAGCCCCCAAGCAGCTCTTGCGGGATTTTCCCCAAGGAGAGAGAAGGGACTGACTGACTTTTAGAGGGGGAATGCAAGAAAAAAAATATTTTTTAAGGGAGCGCTGAGCAGAACCTGGGATGTATACAGGCTCTGCCCAGAGTTCCCTTTAAAAATATTTTTTTCTGGCATCCCCCCTCTAAAAACTAAGTGCGTCTTATGGTCAGGTGCGTCTTATGGAGCGAAAAATATGGTAATTCAAAATTGGCCGATAACATACCATTTATGCAGATTTGCGCTCATGGGTTTGCATTAACTCGGCTGATAGGTTTGTTTGTTCCTGAAATGCTGTGTGTGAGAGAGGGAGAAAGAGTGAGATCGTGACCTTTAGCACTTTTGGCTTGGGTTTTCTCCTAAAATAGTTATTTCACTCCCAAAGATTTTGTCTATGTGTCAGAGAGAAAAAGCTTGCCAACGACTTTCAGTGCCCTTTCAGTGGTTTGTTCCCCAGCCTTTTCTCTGGAACTGAGTTCAGCTCAGCTCAGCGCTCTGACCCTATAATGCTATGGGCTGGTCATGATCCAAGATACGAAAGATATCTTTCACTGGGCAGAGGTCTTGCCTTTTAACAAATCTCATATACAGTGGTACCTCAGGCTAAGTACTTAATTAGTTCTGGAGGTCCGTACTTAATCTGAAACTGTTCTTAACCTGAAGCACCACTTTAGCTAATGGGGCCTCCTGCTGCGCCGCCAGAGCACGATTTCTGTTCTCATCCTGAAGCAAAGTTCTTAACCTGAAGCACTATTTCTGGGTTAGCGGAGTCTGTAACCTGAAGCATATGTAACCCGAGGTACTACTGTATTGCAAAGTTAACTAAACCATCTTCATTCTTCCCACACTGTAGCCTGTAACCAATATGCTTTAACCATATCTGCATACCCTTCAACATTTCTCTGATGAAAATAGGAGTGTCCTATTTAATCATCATCATCATCACCGGCATCATTCTATTTATAACCTGCCCATTTGACTGGGTTGCCCCAGTCACTCTGGGCTGCTTCCAACATATATAAAGCATAATAGAACATTAAACATTAAAACATTCTTTGGTTTTTGGGGCATGTGATTCTATTTTTTGAATGTGCTCTGGAAGATCTGATAAAAATAAACTAAAAAGAAAAGGGGCAAGAATACACCCCTTTAAAAACACCTTTTGTATTAGGGATGTTGGAAGAGAGGTGACCTTTTGCATTGAGTTTGATTTGGCAGATGTTAAAGGAATATAAATTCTGTATTAAGATCTAAGATTCTGTGGTTCCACCCCTGAATGTCCCCCCTGAAATTGACTCTGACCAGAGCAGTACATGCAGGTATTATTCTGTCTTGCAAATTGGAACGCTTGTGCAGATGGAACAATGGGAAGAGTGCGATGTTGAATTTCAGCCACAGATATCTTGTGTAAAGAAAAGGGAACCCCCTCGCTTAATGTTCTTTATTGGTCAAGACCTTTGTTTCACCTAAGTCAACCGTCAGTGTGGCTTTTGCTGCCATGCTTTCTACATAACCAGTTCTACGGAATGGTTGCTTAACAGTGCCTTTGGGTGAATAATGATTCAACATTAAAAGAATTAGATGCATTTATTTATTTACTAAAACGGTGTCCTTCCTCCCAAAGGAGTGAACCTAAAAATATTTTTTTTTAAGAAATTTAAATCTAAAAACGTTAAACCATCTTAAAACACTTAAAAGGAACCACACACTCTCAAAGTTACTAAATTCAATATCTGGGTGAACATGAATGCCTTTAAATTTCTCCTGAAAGTCAATAATGAGGGAGGCAGATGCTTGTCTCCAGGGACAGCATTCCACAAACATGATCCAGAGCCATCCCTGTCATGAACTGGAATGAACCATTATTATTATTATTATTATTATTATTATTATTATTATTATTATTAAACCCCACCCATCTGGCTGGGTTTCCCCAGCCACTCTGGGCAGCTCCCAACAGAATATTAAAAGCACAATAAAACATCAGACTCCTCATAATTTTCTGCTGCTTTCCATATGGGTGGTACCCAGCTATATATCCCCTCAGAGCTACTCAAACTACTCCTTACCTGTTGGAATCGGCATTAAAAAGCCACCTAGTTTTACAGGTGTGTTTGCATTTCAGGCACTGGGAGGGACAGAGGGATGCTGTCAATGGAAGGGCGGCAGCAAACTTGACTTCTTGTCTTTTGGTG